ATGATATTATAATATGTATAATACCTGGACATTTCCTTCATGGTCATAACCAGTTTTTCTTTAAGCACGTCAGTTCTAAGTAGAAGATTGAGTTTAAAGATACGTGTTCTCACTCCCAAGGATCAGTACAAGCTATGCATAGTGTATTATAGTATTTACCTCCTAAGGCCTGGAACTGAATCTTAGCTGCAACGCTGAGTCAGGAACCATAAAACAGTTTGTCTCATGTATTCAGCAATAGAAATTAATCAAATTCTGCCCAGTGACATGGATCCAATTCACCAATAACTCCAGAAACAGTTGGAATTTTCAGTGGAGGCACTCTTGATATACCATACAGGACCATTCGCCTGGAGATGGCGAATTGGGGTGACTGCTCAAGGCCCTGTGCTTTGGGGGGCCCCACGGAGCCGGGCGGAGCAGTGGCGGCATGGAGCTGGGTGGAGCGGCAGCTCCGTGTCCAGCTGTTCACTACCCGCCCCCCACCCCCTCCCCCCTGCTGCTGATGGTGGCGGCAGCTTCTTCAGGTCTGGGATCAGAGTTGGGGCGGGGCCTCGCATGGGATGATTTGCCCCAGGCCCTGCACCCTGCTTGGGTCTCCTCTGACCATCCATATAAATAAGCAGCATTTGGTGCTGCATGCAGTTTAAGATGAAGTTTTACAAACTGAATTGACAGTTCAGAGTTTAAGCAAAAACTGACCAGGCGAGTATGGTTAAATGTTTGGGAGGAGAATGATTAAATGTTTGGGAGGAGAATGTTAAACTTGAATTAAGCAAAAATTCCCTCTCCTGACAGACAAGTAGTTTGAATCCCTCACTCGTGCATCAGTTGATGGATTCAGATCAAGACTTTCAGTGTGGCTTGTATTTTTTATGTCCCTTCATCTCTTGGCATCACAAACCTCCTAAACATTTGGGCAAGCAAAAAGGGGGCTACACCTTTCTTTTTTTTAAAGAAAAGCAGCATGATTACAAATTAGTTGATCATTGACACCCAATCAAAAAACAAAAAAAACGGCCTGTTTGTGGCCTGCTTAGTTTAGTTCTGTTCGTCTCTGCTTAGTTTAAGAGAAAAAGAGCCCTTGAAACTGTTGAGTGAATTCAGAAGAGGGACACTGACCTGTCTTACTCTGTACTACCTTTACTCTTTTTACAGATTTCTTCTTTCTTGTGAATCAGAACTAATCCCCAAGTTCCTTTATCAAGCAATAAGTTAACTTTCTTTCGATTACAGTGCTATCTAAGTTGGCATGAATGAGTAAGTCAGTTTGCCATTATGAATGACTTGATATTCCACAATGGAGTTCACATGCAAACCAGGAATTTTATACAGTACATTCAGGTGACTTGTAATGTGGTGGCTAGGTCAAATTCTTATAATAATGTACTGGGTTGATCCTGTTCTAGTGAACTATATGTAATTTTGGAATGTTTAAGGGTTCTATAACCTTTTCCCTGAATATTTGCGTCACCTCAAATGTTTAAAAATAGTTTGACAGTTGTGTTTAAAACTCAGAAACGGATATCTTGACCTGGGCTTCTGTTAACATGATTATAGGTTCAGTTGGAAGTTGGCTATTTGAGTAAGATTTGTTTTAAAATATAAGATTTTTTTCTAATACTGACTTCTAAAAACATGCTCGTTTTCCATGAAGCATACCGTAATTTCACAAATAGTAGTAGCTGTATGTTGTCAAAATGTACTTTCAGTTTTATGTCAGTAATTCAGGAATGCTCCCCAGGTATATTCAAGGAAATTTACTGTACTTAAAAAGGCCAGGAACAATGCTAATTTATATTCGTGAAAAGGACTGAAGGTTAAAGGTGAATTTTTTTGTTATATTTACTGGCTGTTTCAATGCACACCTTGTTTGGTTTTGTCACATGAGTGTGTAGCACTTTCTAAAGAACTGTGGTTATGTTACCGAGCAGAATTCATGTGTACAGAAGCTTAAATCAGTACAACCCAGTAGATTCAGACCCATTAATGCAGATACTGACACACATTTCCCATGTGCTTCACTAGTTTTGTTCATTACTTGATTAGACCCCATGTGAGGCAGTGGCTTATAACACAGTAGCCAAATTGTATTTTATAAGGTTTGTAGATTTTTCTGGAGAAAAACAGACTTTTGAATTATGTAACTTAAGTGATACAGATGCATGTATAAATGAAAATCTATACTTACTTGAACATAAACTTGATTATGAAAAAATAAATACTATTAATGCCCATTGGGTTAGTGAACTACTCATTTTTATACATCCACTAGTTTCTTCTGGGGTATTTTGAATATTTTTCCTACCTTTGCAAGTTCTCAGCATTTGTAAATGTATTTAGATGTAATGCACTCTGTTAAAGTACAGATTCATAATGTCTTTATCTACTGCATAATGGTAATCACAAACCCATCCACGGGGTATCCCCAAGTTACTCCCCCTGCTATCCTGCAGACCAAGGTTTTCCCTGAGATAACTTGATCCACTGACATTCTGCTAGGCCTCACAGTTGCTGCAATGGAATCTTTACCAGCTCCAGATAGTTTCTCCTTCAGTTGTGAAAGAATTTTAGGTCCCCCTTTCTATAGAATGGGCTAACCTGGAATACCACTTGCCCTGAGATCATGCTTTACCACAGGCAATCAGTAAGGAAACAAAACAACAAAATGATTTATTATATAGGAGAAAGGAATTAAACAAAAACTGACCATCAAGTTTAAAGACAGAACAAAAAAAACAAGTATGTTTTCTTACCCTGAATACAACCTGGCTCCCTGAGAATCCTGGCAGTATTTCCCGCTGATCCTACCAGCCCTGACCTCTGAGCACTAGAATCTAAAGGTGCACTGATGTATCGGTCAATGTCAATTTTCCTTTTATCGGTGCTGATACAATATGATTGCCAATCAGCTTTTTTTTGGCTTATGTGGCCAATAATATCACCAATAAAATGCCACATGCATGAGCGCAGCTGCAGCATGCACATGGCCAGGAGTGCAGTCCTGCAGCTTGGAGAGCAGCATCCAGCCAGTAAGTCTGTTGGGGGGAAGGGAAGTGGGGGGCAGAGTGCGACCCCCACAGTGAGGGAGACAGTGGGGTAGGGGCTGGCACTGCACAGTACGGCTGTGCAAAGCTTCAGTAGCCAATTCAATTCAGAGGAGATTCGGCCTGATTCGGCAGCCGAATCTTCAAATCAGAATTAAATCAGGAGACCCATTAAAAGATACGAATCAATTCGGAAGACTTGCAGGAAACAGGAACTGAGAACAGGGAGGGGGATGCAGCAATCTTCCATATGTGGAAAAGGCTGAGAGGGAGGGAAACACTGCTCTGATATTGGCATCTGTAGCTGGTCAGTGACTGTGATCTTACTCTTGAGTTCTCAATCACAGTATCATCCCTGCTGTTTTCATCCTGTTCTGCCTTAACGCACATTATTGGCTCCAAGATGAACATGAGCTGCCAATGCCAGACCACAGCCAGCAAGGCCAGCCATACCTTGTCATGCATCCAAAGGTGCATCTTAAGCCAGTCCAGAGAGGTGATACTCCCCCTGTATGCAACTTTGGTCAGGCCGCAGTTGGAGTACTGTGTCCAGTACTGGGTGCCGCACTTCAAAAGGGATGTGGCCAGCCTGGAGAGGGTTTAGAGGAGGGGCACTCTCTTGGTGAGAGGGCAGCAGGACAGGCCCTATGAGGAGAGACTGAGGGACCTGAACCTGTTCAGCCCCAGCAAGAGGAGACTGAGGGGGGACCTGGTGACTGCCTACAAACTCATCAGGGGAGATCAACAGCAAATAGGTAGAGCCCTTTTCTCCCCAGCACCACCTGGGGTGATGAGGAACAATGGTAATAAGCTGATGGAGAACAGGTTTAGATTAGAGATCAGAAGGCAATATTTTACAGTTAGGGTGGCCAAAATCTGGAACCAGCTTCCCAGGGGAGTGGTCCTCGCCCTTACCTTGGGCAAATTCAAGAGGAGGTTGGATGATCACCTGTCTGGGGTCTTGTGAACCCAGCATTCATTCCTGCCTGTGGCAGGGGATCAGGCTAGATGATCTGTTCAGGTCCCTCCTGACCCTAGCGACTATGAAACTACTATGAAACAAGTGATATGAGTTTTGCTTTCAAGTTTGAAGTGCACTTTCAAAGAAACCCCTGCACCTATTTCCTTGAAACTTGGCAGGCATCATGCCCTCAGAAGGGGCTACCATCCCTGCTGTCTTCATCTGACTGTGCAAAAAAAAAATTGCAAAGTTACAGGTATTTTAGTAATTCTGAAGCTTTCTGTCAGAGGTGCTACAAGAAAAAGGTATTTTCACTTCACCAATAAAGCCTAGTCATAATTTGGGTTTTACACCTCCCAGACTCTTCCCAGCTGTTCTAGCGAAGATTATGCATGCCATCACCTCTTTCCCAAAAATATAGCACTAGGTAGACTATGACCATCACTCCTACATGAAAGTGCAATAGCCTGGTCCAAGATGTATTCCAAAACATCTGCAGAGATCCTTTTAAAGAACAATTCTGAAGAAAAACTAAAAAACTAACAGGCTGCCCTAGATCATACTCTATTTAGAACAATGCTTAAGTAGCAAGGTGGTAGGACAGTTCAGTATCTCAGAATGAAAAGTAGATCTACCTTGAATCTCAGGAAAACAGATTTCTGACTAAAAAAGCTTCAGTGTCTCACATTACTGAATATGTGTTTACAACTGGAGAATCATTAGCTATTAATCCTGTTTAGCTGCTTAGCAGTGACTACTGACTAACCAGATGAAATAACCAAATATAAGTACTTCAGTAAATATCAGTGTTTAAAAGTCAAAACTGTGTCAAAAAACTGCAACTCCTTCCCTCTTTTTTACAGGAAGGCACAATGGAAGCAGATGATTAAAAAGCCTCTGCCACTCCTAGTTTTAGTTTAAAGCTAAACTGCTGCAGCAGTAGCTGTTCTCACCACATACCCAACTTATGCCGAGGCTTTACTGGTGAAGTGAAAATACCATTTTCGTGTAGCACCTCTGACAAAGAAAGCTCCAGAATGGCATATCAATGCCATTTGATCAGTCAATGCTTTGTGGGGTGAAGTGATAATGCGATTGTCATGAATGCCAAAATATTTTGACAGACAAGGTTTGTCAGAGAGTTTGTCCAACCAAAAACCAGATAGTACAAGTAGTAGCATAACCTCTTCAACTCATGGTTGTGGGCCATTTGAGGGCTATTTCACCGTTCCTTGAATTACTTGAAAATGTTGACAAAAATGTGCTTACTAGTGTAGTTTCAAATTATTACTGCCATATCCTTCATACATCTGTTATATGCTGGAAGCTCTCTCTGCTATTACGGATGGATGCTGGCATATCTAATACTTACTCTACTGTAGTTTAATTCCTTTGCATCTAAAAGAAATGGCTGGTTTTGTGATGCCTGTAGGAGTTTAAATCCCAACAGGGGAAAAAAAACTGCATGAAACACAGTCTTTATCCAGTTGCATATTCTCTCTAAAACACAGGACTACCAGTTGATGTCCTCAGAAAGTTCCTTTCAAGTTCCCTTGTCCATAAAGATCATATTCCTTAAATAGTATATATTCTTTTAACGGGTTGGGTAGAGGAAGGAATGTCATGAAGAAGGGACAGCACAGATGCAAGCGCCCCATACATTTCTGGATCTTCAAATGACAAAGATGTTTCAAAGAGCGAGGATTTGCTAAAAACAGAGGAATAATTTTCTCTTACTAATCAAACTATAAACACTTTATTCCATTTTTCATGATTGCTCCAACCCACCTTTTAAAGAATTGGGTCTAGATTCTGATTCATTTATTTGTGTTAAATAATACATTGAGTTTAGGGGCTTTCATAGAATTCATGGTACTTCTGGAGAATCCAACATATGGAAGGGTATCAGCATGTGGTCCTCTAACTTGTCACCAGTTTCACTTGAAAATGCCATCAAACAACCTACCATTTAGTCAAATGTAAGACACCCCCCCTGCAATAATTAGATTCTATAGGCATCAGGACAGATATGAAAGCATTTTGACTTTCCCCATTCATCCTTTCTCCTTTTTTGAACTGTTCTTTGCAGTTAAAATACTAGGAAAAATGAACAGGGTAAAAAGAGTTAATATTACCCAATATGGCTGCATTGAAATGTCACTTGAAAGAAGCAGAACTAATTTATTGAGTTTCTGTCAATAAAGCCTATTGACATGGCATGTAGGCTATATGGAGGGGAGGAAAATAACTTAGGCTTGAACACACAGGAAATGGCAGCAGGTAGGCTGTAGTCTGCTTTGTTATTAGGAAACCTGCAAGCCACTGAACGTGAATAGTTCTAGTGCCGTGATTCTTCTGAGTAATGTTTACCTTAAACACCTCCAAAGCCTCCAGTTTTTATAGGCAGTCCTCAACTTATGGCGGCTTGACTTGAGGCGATCCGCATTTGCGGTGCTCCACGTTTTACATATTACTTAAGGTGCTGATCCTCGCACTTACGGTAGGCAACGGCGGAGGCACCGGGGCCAGTGTGGGACACTTACTGGAGGTAAGCTCAGGCGGCAGCTCCTCCCCAAGGCCATGTGCTCCCAGACGAGACAGGGACAGGGGCTGGGGAACTGCTCCTCTTCACAGCCCCGACGCCACATGCCTCCTCGCTCCCAGAGGCATGGCGAGGTGGGGATGGGGGCTGGTGCGGGCTCTGCCAGCTCTGGGGAACTGCTCTGTGGGCTCTGCCAGCTCAGGGGAACTGCTCCACGCCCCCGGCATCACCTCAGGGAGCAAGGAAGCATATGGCGTCAGGGCTGGGGAGCAGAGCAGTTCCCCGGAGCCAGTGGAGCCCACCGACCTGTTCCCAGCCCCCATCCTTGCCTCACCATGCCTCTGGGAACGAGGAGGCACATGGTGTCGGGGCTGGAAAGTGGAGCAGTTCCCTGGAGCTGCCGGAGCCTGTGCCAGCCACCAGCCCTCATTCCTGCCCCTACCTCACCTTGGGGAGGAGCTGCTGCCTGCCCTGCATGAGGACTGAGGAGCTTACCTTCGGTAAGATGGCCTCGGTGCCTCCCTTCCAGTTCTTTCAATCAATTGTGTCTGGCCCACGGCCTTCTGATTAAATCATTTCTAGTTGATTAAATAGTTGATTTAAATATGGTCATTTCTATAAAAAGTTGGGCATCAGGTCCTTGGTCAGGAACGTAATCCTATCATAACATTGTTTCTATGGGAAAATCAGATTTGACTTGCATTGTTTCGACTTACAGCGCCTTTTCCAGGAATGTAACCTGCTGTAAGTACGAGGACTGCCTGTACAACTACTTTTATTTCTCGCAACTGCTTAATTGCCTTTTGGCAGGACAAAATAACAAAAAGCAGTGCATTATGGAAACAGAAACAGTTTGGTGTTCCTGACACTTACTTATCATGGATTCAATTTCGGGCCACAGCTCCTGTTCTTTGAGAACTGGTTTCAGCTTACTGCAAATGTTAACACGATCAATGTAATCTAGCATTACTCGCACTACTTTCCCAGACAAGTGCCTCAGCCATGACAGCGTTATCACCTCACAGAACTGAGAAAAATCAAAAGAACATTCAAAATTTCTGTGAATCATTTCATTTAATTCTCTGAAGGTCAAAACAATGAAAAATAAGTTTCGGGGGGAAAAAAAAAGGATAGGGAAGAGTGCGCTACAATCAGGGGCTTCTCTGGTGGTCACTGAACTTACATTACATCAGAATATGGAAAGCTGACAGCCTTTGCAAAGGCCTTAGGTGCCTCCATGTTTTTGGCACTGCATCACTTAACTTTAGTCTTCCACTTGTTAGAGCAGAAAGCTGTAACTCCATGTGTACACTCACTATGCGCTACAGAGAGGGGAAATCACTTTGAATTGGGACCCAAAGCAACCTTATACCCTACAGAGCACTACATAATTCTAGTCAATGGGGAAGTGCAGGGATGTTCCTGAAGTCCCACGTCTCAAGGTGCATCCCCCTGGGAACACATCCCTGAAGACAGTCTTTCAAAGAACTGAGCAGGGCCTTCTATGCCTGTCTTGGATCCTCAGATGTCAACTGTATTCTTGTCAGCTGCTGACTTAACTCATGGATCAAACAGTCTCTTATAAGAACCAGACTGGTGTTCACTTGAATTCTTTGATATGGTTGAGTCCATTCAAGCTTTAAATGCATTATTTATTTATTCTAATGATTTATCATAAACACGGCTTCATGACCAGTGCCCACTAAATTGTCTTCAGAACTTTGTCTACCATTACCTTTACCCAAATCTTTCTATATTGGTAGATTGTAACACATTAATCAAAGCATGAACAAACATTTAATTCTGAGCAGTACAGGCAGCAAAACAATGACATGCAAAGTCTTTTGAAGTACTTACCATTGTGTCTTTGATAACAGTAGAAGTCCATCCTGCAAACACATATTGGGAATGGGAGTTGTCTCCATGAGGACAATCAAAGCAGCGGTACACATCATACCCATAATTCAACAACATCCTTAACATGACTTCGTCTTTCAGTGCATACTGCAAAGCCGATGGGAAATGTGTTGTATTCACTCTGCAGAAGTAATTTACATTGGCCCCATGGCGAAGCAAAAGACTCATTAACTCATAGTTGCCCATCCTCAAAGCTAA